AATAATAATGGTACTCTGAGAAAAGGAGATATGATGCAGTTATCTAAATTGTTCTCAGGTATCTTAGTCAACTGAATAATCTTTCCTGCTGCCTTCATAAATTATTATGAATATCATTAAAGATTTTTCTTCTTCCGTGTGAATGTTTCAATAAGAGCAATTTCAATGATTAGGAGAGGTTGAAGAATTATAGGAAAAAACCCCTGGGGACATTTTTAAGAACTGTTAGCTTTTCAACGAGGCTACAAGATCTCATCATTGTCTAAAGAACATAAATACCTTTTGGATGAAATATTGACTATTAAAAATCTTGCCATACCGTTGAAGAAAAACACTAAATAGTTTCCAAATCTGTTGAATTTTTTATTGTATCATTGCAGGAGACAGCAAAAGCAGAATCTCAAGGGGGAGTTACCTCTTTCAAGTATTTTTATAGTTTCCCAGATAAGCATGCACAACTAGAACTTCAACTTGGAATTTTCCACTGAAACTGACCTCTTAGCATCTTTTCTCTGCAGCTGGTCATGGCATCATGCAGACCAGTTAGTTCTAGTTTCGAGGTCACTTGTTTTTTCAGTCACAGCACATCCCACCTAGCCTACATGGCTTCATTATTTTTATATGTTTCCACTCTAGTTCATTTTAACTTCCACAATACCTTAAAGAACAATATTTTATTTAGCAGATACTGCAATAAAGTAATCCTGCCACACTGCTGGAGTTATTAAGATATTGAAATGACACGTATTGGGTGGCCACTGTCCAGAAATAAGAACCTGAATTTACTATAGGGTTGCCAGGTCCCCCCTGGCCACCAGCAGCAGGGGAGGGTTACCAGTAGGGATGGGCATGAACTGGCTGACAAACGAAAGTTTATACCAAATTCTGGCCAGTCTGTCGCTTGTGAAGTAATGTTTGTAAACTGAAGAACCACCACAAACTTTTATGAATTCTGAGGCAGTTTGTGGTGGTTAATGAGCAGAAAGCAGGGATTTAAACCCATTTTCTGCTTTTCACAAAAAAAACAGCTGAGTGGCCAGGAAGCTCCCCGCTGCTCAGTTGTTTGGTTTAAATGGCTCCCATTTAAATGAAGAGCCAGGGGGACAGAAAGTCGGGGTTTAAATGGCTCTGAGCCTGGGGCTGGCTGCCCAAGAAAGCCCCTTTAAACAGCTGATCCACATGGATCCCTTTATCAAGCAATTGTTCAGCAGAAGCTATTTTTTATTAAAGGCAAATCTTGCTAGATCACAGGCACTTACCAGAGGGGAATAAATATGTACAATAATGAGAATGTTGGGTAGGATCCCTCAGATCTGTTCCACTAATGGTGGTCCCTTCCTTCAGTGTAAGGTACCTCTCCCTTGCTCTTTTCCATTAGTGGAAAAGGTCTGTGGGATGCAACCCTCTGCCTATGAGATTATGAGGTTCATGAAAATTATGCCTAAAGTACTTGAAGAAGTAGGAAATAAATTCAATTATTCTTGTTATTCATTTTGAATCTTTGGCATAGCTGGCTTTTACAGTGTGCTGTCTCTCTCCCTCTCTCTCTATATATATATAATTGTGTTTTGGGGTGGCCCTTTGCAGCTTTCCCATTGGCTGTGCAATGCACTCCCTCAATCATTGGCCCGTCAGCCACCACTCAAGCGTACTCACGTGCCATTGGCCAGGTGCTGTGTCTGCTCCTCTTCCCCACCCACTCCCCCTTCAGCCACTGTGTTCTGTAAGAATTACTCGCAAACAGCTTTCTCTCTTGACGAAGATACTTCTCTTGCTTGCCTCCTGTGTGGGAGTAACTTGTCCCTCAGTGGCTGTTGGTAGGTGTAACAAAATGGCAGTTACCTGTGTTTGTAAGATGGCTGACATGTGGTTGTTTGTTTAAAATGTTCCCCCATAAAGTTTGAGTTGTAGTTCCAGAGAGGGGCCTGCAGGGGTATCACTCACTGGGTTGAATGGGACTTCCTCATCTGCGGGCCTACAGTTCCCAGCTGCCCCAAGGCCAAGAAGTTTGGGAAAAGAGGGACTGTCCCAAGGGGCAAGGCAGAAAAGATGATTGTGTTTAACCCCTGTTGATTTATGTCCTGTTGGTTCATAGTGTGTGCTTACTCCTACGGTTCTGCCTTATTTATTTAGTCTGTGTGCTCCATAATTGTGTAAATTTCTATATAATAATTCTCTTAGCATATTGTCCACTTTCAGCTCTCCCATTGGTTATGCAGTGTGGTTCTATCAGCCATTGGACCATCAGCCGCCACTCAAGAGTACTTGTGTACCATTGGCTGGGTGCTGGGTCTGCTCCTGTTCCCTGCCAACTCCCACTGCAGCCACCTTGCCTCAGAATAACTGGCAGATGGCTCTCTCTCCCTTGACGAAGACACTTCTGCTGCTTCCCTCAGTGGCTGTTGGTAGGCAATCAAGGTTGGTTCAGTGTAACTGCGTCCCCCACCCACTGCCACTTGGCCACTTTCCTGTCAGAATAAACTGAAAACTCTCTCCTGCTCAGCTCCACTATGGCTGGCTGGCTAATGAGGTGGGCCAGCGGACATCAAACTATTTTCTTCAACCCCCTGCTGTGCAGCTGACTTTCCCCTAGGGTTGCCAATCTCCAGGTAGGACCTGGAGATCTCCCACTATTACAATTGATCTCCAGATGACAGAGATCAGTTCCCCTGGAGAAAATGGCTGCTTTGGAAGATAGACCCTATGGCATTATATCCTGCTGAGTCCTTCCGCCCCCCCATGTTGCCCTCCACAGGATCCACCCCCCAAATCTCCAGGTATTTCCCTACTTAGAGCTGGCAACCCTACTTTCCCCTCAGTGCCTGTTGGTAAGCAACCAAGCTTGGTCCTGTCACCTATTTTGGCCTATATTATATAGAAATGTACACAATTATGGAGCACACAGAGTTTGGTGTAGTGGTTAAGTGCGCAGACTCTAATCTGGGAGAACTGGGTTTGATTCCCCACTCCTTCACTTGCACCTGGCTGGATGACCTTGGGCAAGCCATAGTTCTGGCACAGCTGTTCTTGAAAAAGAGCAGTTTCTGTCAGAGTTCTCTCAGCTCCACCTACCTCACAGGGTGTCTGTTGTGGAGAGGGGAAGGGAAATGAGTTTGTAAGGCGCTCTGAGACTCCTTTGGATAGTGAAGGGCGGGGTATAAATCCAATCTCTTCTCTTCATCTTTGGGAGAAAACTCATCGGGGCCAGTCCTGATAGGGTTGCCAACTCCAGGTGGGAAATTTCTAGAGATTCGAGGGATGGAGCCTGAAGAGGGTGAGGTTTCAGGAGGGGTGGGACCTCAGACACATACAATGCCAAAGACTCCACCCATCAAACCAGCCATTCCTTCCTGGGGAGCCATCATTGCCAATCTCCAGGTGAGGGCTGGAGACCACTCAGAATTACAACTGCTCTCCAGGAGGGAGGAGATGGAAAGCTAAAGTCAGGGGGCAGATAACGGTAGGTTTACAGTTGGCTGGGAGGGAGATAGGGTTGCCAACTCCAGGTTAGGAAATTCCTGGAGATTTGAGGGGTGGAGCCTGGAGAGGGTGAGGTTTGAGGAAGGGTGGGACCTCAGAGAGGTACAATGCCATAGACTCCACCCTCTAAACCAGCCATTCCCTCATGGGGAACCATTGTTGCCAATCTCCAGGTGAGGGCTGGAGACCACTCAGACTTACAACGGCTCTTCAGGAGGGAGGGCAGAAGTCAGCTGAAATCAGAGGGGCAGATAATGGTAGGTTGATAACCATCCTGGGAAGGAGATGGGGTTGCCAAATTCCTGGAGATTTGAGGGGTGGGGCTTGAGGGGTTGGACCTCAGACAGGTAGAATGCCATAGACTCCACTCTCCAAACCAGCCATTCCCTCATGGGGAACCATTGTTGCCAATCTCCAGGTGAGGGCTGGAGACCACTCAGAATTACAACTGCTCTTCAGGTAGCAGAGATCAGTTCCTCTGGAGAAAATGGTGGACTCTGTGTCACTATACCCTGCTGAGGTCGCCACAGCAAATTGACACTGTGTGCCCAAAGCCGGAGCACTCTCCCAGAGCCTCTTTCGAAAGCTTGTTGTATTTATTTCCACAACGTCCTTATTCCTAGTTTCTTAATATTACGTATTTGGGGTTATTTTATAAGAAGTATGACACACCATTAAAACTTTCCTTCATATCTGTGGTTTTGAGACTTATAGATTTTGATGACTTCTATATTTTAAACTAATTGGGTTTGTTTGTTTTTTTATTGAATACTGCTTTAAACAGTTTTGGGGAAAGGTAGTTTGTTTAAATGGTTTTAATAAAGACGAATCAACAGCTAGATTTCAGTACTGCAGTAATTACAAGTAGCAGGAAGGTGGCATTGTAGGACTGCATTTCTGAACTGTTTTACCACTGTAGTAAAAATGAAACTTCAAAAGTGAAGGTTTTTCTAGAGTTCAGCTACTTGCTTGCTTATCCAGTGCTGCATTTAGGATAATTTCAAGAAGGGTACATTAATTTAAAAATGAAGTCCATGGAAATTTAGGGTAGGGACACACATTCCTATATGGTTTCATGTCCTCATGGATAGTAGGGTGCTTTTTCCTTTCCTCCACAGCTGTACTATGTTGTGTACAGCGGCACTCAGCAGAAAATAACAATATCATCTAAATGGTGGGAAAAGACAAAAAGGTGGTTTAACAGCATTTCATTGTGCATTTTGCAAGTGTGTTCAACACAAAGAACACAACTCCCAATTTATGGAACCAGCACAAACCACACCAAGAAGTAGCAAAAACCTACCAAGTCAGTAATTGCCTTAGACAACCTAGACTTGGCTGACTCTCCCATTACAGCAAATGCAGTACTCCTGCAGTGAGATAAAATGGGCATAAATTCACAAACAGAGAAAACTTCCTACTCTTGTCTCTGATTTTGATTGGGGGGGGGGAGAGGTTCCTGGTATTAGATGTTATGTTAAAACTTTGTAAACCCATCCATTTCTGTTTCCTTATTGCAGTGGGAAAAACTACAAATGACAACAAGTGAGAGAAGGAAGATAGTCTGCTCAGTCACATTCCACATTATTGCTATTACCTGCGTAGTTTGGTCATTGTATGTTTTAATAGATCGGACTGCTGAGGAAATTAAGCAAGGCAATGACAACGGTGAGTGAATTTCTTTCTTTCTTTGTTGCCATGCTTAGAAGTGATACTTCAGCAACAGACAGCGCAAAACTTAACAGAATCTCAGTTTTTATTCTACCTCTCCTTACCCCTTTCTAGACTTTAAAGGTTTGAGAATATAACGTCTGGTGGAATTCTTTAAGCTTTAGAGAAGGGAGTAATTCCTCCCTCTCCATGACTGAAGGAAAAACAAAGTATATGAGTACAACTGCTTCATTTGCACAACTTGTTAGGTCACAAGCTCTGCAACAAAAATGTTGATTTTTAAAAAAATTCTTGGCTAAAGGGAAAATAAAGCTAGTAAACTGTGTGCGTGCTGTATTTTTAAGAAAGATAATGGAATAGGTGTTGCATTCCTTAGTAGATATTTAGTTTTGGGTCTTGTCAATTTGCATGTGGGGTGATTTTTGCCAATCCCCACCTCCCCCAGCAGCCTTCCGACTGCGTCATCATGCTGAGAATCCCTTTGACTTCACAGCATAGTGGCATCACTACGTTATCTAAACTCCTCCATTGACTCCACTGCTGACCTTGTCTGCTCTCTCAGACCTCTGTCCATCCACCATCTTATCTCTTTCATCAGTGCACAGTCTGCATTCCCCACACTCTGCCTCTGGTTCCTTCTGTGATCTGCAATCCAGTGATTAACTGCCTTTCTTGGAACTTAGCTTCTGTTGACTCCCTAGAACCCTCAGTTTCCACTTTCAGCTCATCCTTACCCTCAGCACTTTAATCCTTTCCCCTAGTCTCCCAGCAAAGCATTCATGCCTGTTACCCCCAGCCCTGGTTAACTCAGTCCACTCAGTATCTTTATTCATGCTGTCAAGGAGGTGAACATGGTTGATTTTATCCATTATAAATTCATCCTCTGTTCCTTCTATCTGCCTGCCTAAGCAACATTGTCACAGTTCCTTTATCCACACCAGTTCTAGGAATCTTTTGTGCCTCTCGTCCATCCTCTATGACTGAGGCTTATCACACAGCATCCTTCCCCACCTTGCTCTGTGCTCAAGACATTGCCTCACTCTTGAACCTTTTTCCTCCCCCCCCCCACCGTCTTCCAGTTTGCCTTCGTCCTATGCTTCCTTCAGTCCTCTCTCCTTCCCTTGGCCTCACTTGATGAAGTCAACACACTGTTGACTTCAACCATCCTTTTTCTATGCCTCTTTGATCCCTTCTTCACCCTTCTCTACATCAAATCAACCAGTTTTTCTCTTCCAGCTTCTTCCCTACTGCATTCAGCAATACCACTGTTGGCCCCTTTCTCAACCTGCTATCCCTTAATCCACGTTCCCTCTCCAATATACACACAATTTTTATTCTACCCAATACTCCAATATACACACAATTTTTATTCTACTCCACAGATTTCTTAACCCTCCGTCATCTTGGTTGCACCCTCTGCACTCCACTGAAACTGCCATTAGCAACTCACTGACAATATTGTTATATATGAATGAAGATCTCTACTCTGCTCAGTCTTCTTGATTGTTGTGTTGCTTTGATAGCTGTCAAGGGAACGAGTGATCTCGCTTTCACACTCTTAGGGATGGAGGAATCCACCAGCCCCCTCCCCTTGTTTTTCCATTAGGTAAACATGACTGAGTTAGCGTGTTAGGGATGCACAGACCAGACTCCTGGCATTCAAATCATAAATAATTTAATAAAGCATAAAATCACACACACAACAAAACAAAGATTAAAAGAAAATTGGCAAAAATGTTATCCATCTAAAATTGTTCTGAACTTGTCCCAAACCAATGTTAAAATAAGGATAGGCACTATCTTTGAGGGTACAAGACCTAAGAAAAGTTCCATTACCTGAATTCTCAGACTTGGTACCTCTTCCATTGTCCTTTGGCATTAGTTCAAGATGGAGTCCCTAGGTAAAGGCTTAGTCCATAGCTGGAGACAAAATGACTAAGAGCAACTCATTAATTGCTTTGTGTTCCCAGAATTTATAACCTCGGGTTAGAGGGCATTCCTTGTTCTTAGTCAGATCCTCTGTCTTTTTCTATTTCTCCAGGGAAAAGTGACACTTCAGCATTTGGTTCTCAAGACTCTACTGCTTGAGGTGTTACTTTCGCTATTCTCTTTTTTCCTCTGATACTAAGTTATCCACATAACTCAAAACCTGGGTCTTTATAGCAAACTATGATGAGAATTTGGGGGGGGGGTAATTCTTCACAGTATTAACTAATGTGTCCAAGAGCTTCTGAAATACATAAATATTTATGTTACCTTGGTTCCTTTAAAAATTGTATACTTCTTTTTCATATTTTAAGATGTCTCAAGCAAAAAAAAAGTTACCAACATATTTAAAATTCCCTCATACCTGGCAAAGCTCTCCTTAGGCAAGTTTGAGTTGTGCATAGCAAATGATTATGCGCCTTTCCACTGGGCAACTTTCTTAATCTCAACAGCACAATAGTATTTTAAATCATATTCTGGACAAAATGAATTCTCTTCTGGCAATTCTTAACTTGCTCAAAAGAAATTTATCCTGAGTAAAAGGACTCTCTTTTCATTAATAAAATGTTAAAAGGAAAGGTTATAAAACGGTGAATGACCTCGACCAGCCTGTTTAGTTCCAGTGACATCAGTTGGACCAAAAGCCAAATCTAATTAGAATGTCAAATGTAGAATGACCCTTACAAGTGTTTACCGTGACTGGATTTCCTCAGCAATCTCATGGAACTGAATCCTTTCACAGAACTATCAGGAAGGAATATGTGTGAATGAGCTAGTAACTAAACAGAGTTCATTTGTATTCAAGAAGGTTAATCTCTTGCTGAATCATCCTGTGTTAGGAAGGTGAGGAAAGTTAATAAGCCCATTTGACAAAGTACTGGTAGTGGTGAATCAGCAACTACTATATTGATAGGAAGTAAGTATACAAGACAGTGATTTGTAAATTATACTTTCACAATTCTCTTGTAATTATGGAGAAAGAAATAAAGAAGCTCAGATGGACTTTTCCCTTTACGTGGCTTTGACAAAACTATTTTTAATTCATATTATCAAACTTATAAACTACTGTCAGGAAAATAGCCCTGATTATCATGTCTCCAGAAGACTCAAAAGCAGATGCCTCTTAATCTGTTTGCTTTATTTTTCCCCTTCATAGCTTCAGACTGAGTAAAAGTTGTATAGTTTCCTTAAAGGTGTCAGCAGTAAAGGGACTCTAGCCACCTCAAAGTGTGGGCAGCTCACAGCAGCATTCTTGGTACTGCTGTTTCCAGAGGCTTCTCCAATCAGTTCTGCATACCATAAAAATCACTTAAGCACCCAGCTATACCTGTTAATGGACTACTGCCCCGCATAATTTGGCTGTGGATTTGGAGGCCATGGTGTGATGGCTAAAAGAGAGCTGGCTGAGACTAAATTCAACAAAGATGGAGCTTCTGCAGCTGGGGGGGGGGCTTCAGGATTGGGGCACAAACGTCCCACTCTTAATGAGGTGCCATTGACATGGGCACAAACCACCAGGAGTTTGGCCGTGGTCCTGAATACCTCCTTATCCATGGAGGCCCTGGTCACGAATGTTGCCAGGCTGGCATTCTTCCATCTATGCCAAGCACAACAACTGGCCCCTTTCTTGTCACACTCTGACCTAGCTGCAGTAATCTATGCAATGGTCATCTCCAGGCTAGACTACTGTAACTCACTGTATGCTGGCCTACCTTTGAGACTAACCCAGAAACTCCAACTGGCTCCCAGTAGAGCAAAGAGTCAGGTTCAAGGTTTGGTATTGACCTTTAAGGCCTTGAGTAGTCTGGGACCCACGTATCTTTGGGACCACCTCCACTGGTATGTTCCCCAAAGAGCATTACGCTCTGCTGAGAGCAATCTATTGGTGATCCCTGGCTTTCTCGGCCCTGGCTCCGACCTGGTGGAACTCTCTGCCAAATAACATCAGAGTCCTGTGAAATTTAATGCAGTTCAGCAGGTTCTGCAAGGCAGAGATGTTCCACCAGGCTTTTGTTTGAGGACAGCGACAGGCAGTGTCATGGCCGGCACCCTTCTCTTTCCTTTCCCTCTCTGCCTCCTCCTCATCTTGCTTGCAAGACAGCAACACAGTCTTGGAACTGGTTACAGATTGATTTATAAATGCCATCTGGGGATTGTTTTTAAAAATGTAGTGATGTGCTTATTATATTTTAGTAATGTTTATGATGTATTTTATTTTATTGTTGCTCATCGCCCAGAGCCCTGTGTATTCAGGGATTGGGCGATCCACAAATCCAAATTATAAATAAATAAAACTTAGGCTTTCTCACCCCCTTTCCTAAAGCAGATTCTTATACAAATACATTGATTTCTCTTACTAATTTGTTCTAATCTAATAGTGCCTCTGACAGGTTACAGCCATTTCCATCTTCTCATACAGATGGCTCGATTTTACTGCCTCTGATTTTTCACCCAACAAACATCTTAATCACTTCTGCCTGAAGCAGCACACTGTCGCCTCTTTTGTTAAATACATAGATTTGATTTTACACATGGTTACTTTGGTAAAAAGTACCTGTTGGCTTTCTCTCAAGACAGTGGTAAGCCTACTTCTGAGCAAGAGGAGGAAAGGCAAGTGAAAGCATAGTTCAAGTAAATGTCATCCAATTCTAAGCATTATGGATTGGATCTTAATAACCTAGATTGGATCCCCATAGAAGCTTTCCTTGGATTAGAGGGGATTTCTGTCTGTGGAGCATGAACTTTTTGCCAGGTCCCCTCCCTTAGCAACCTGAAATGCCCTTGAAAAACTCTAGGGAACAAGAGATGCCTGGAAACAGCATCCTGAGGAGTTGGAGTTCTGCAGCAGGAAGGGGGATTTGGTGAAAATCAACACCCTTTCCACCTGTGGAAGTCCTCCAAGCCAGAAAGTGGAGTTCAACTCACAGGACAGGGATTTTGGACCTTCAGCAGCAGTCCCTTGTGACCCTCATGAAGAAGAAGAGATTGGATTTATACCCCACCCTTCACTACCCAAAGGTGTCTCAGAGTGGCTTACAAACTCCCCTCCCCACAACAGACACCCTTGTGAGGTAGGTGGGGCTGAGAGACCTCTGACAGAAACTGCCCCTTTTCAAGAACAGCTCTTGGTCAGAATAGATAAGAATAGATAAGCATATGGAGCAGAGGTCCATCAGTGGCTATTAGCCACAAGGTATAGATAGGGACTCTGGGGCAAGTGATGCTCTGTCTTCTTGGTGCTTGGGGGGGTCAACAGTGGGGGGGGCTTCTAATGTCCTGGCCCCACTGGTGGACCTCCTGATGGCACCTGGTATTTCTGGCCACTGTGTGATACAGAGTGTTGGGCTGGATGGACCTTTGGCCTGATCCAACATTGGCTTCTCTTATGTTCTTAACTACGGCTTGCCCAAGGTCATCCAGCCAGGTGCAAGTGGAGGAGTGGGTTTACAAGAGTTTACAAACAACTTGTGGTACAGTATAGAGGGCCACAGCATGAAAGGGAAATGGGAAAAAATCAGAACCCTCCTTTGTGTAAGCAGAAGTAATAGTTTGGATCAAACCCACCCCAAACAGACAGCAACTATCCAAGGAAGTATCATGATACTAATTATACCTTTATTTTTACCTTAAAAGGTGTCCTGGAGTGGCCATTTTGGACAAAACTGGTTGTGGTGGCTATTGGATTCACTGGAGGCCTCGTCTTCATGTACGTACAGTGTAAAGTGTATATTCAGCTGTGGCGAAGGCTGAAGGCTTACAACCGAGTGATATTTGTTCAGAACTGTCCAGACACTGCCAAAAAAATAGACGAGAAAAATTCTTCCTTTGTTCAAAACACTGAAATCAAAGACGCTGTGGTGGTGCCAGTATCACAGACAGCTACAAACTCTCAGCAATCAGGAGATGAAACTGCTTCTGATGTCATGCCAGTTTGATGGAAGCAGCATTTCCCCCCTCATTGAAGAACAAGGCAACATGCTTTCTCCTATTCAGCCACAGGAAAGGGCAAAACCACGAAGTATTTTTGAATGAAGAGCAAGCAGAAAGAAAGCCAGGAAAATTGATCAGAAGAAATTACACGTTACCTCTGGAATGCAATTGTGAAGTAATTTTGCAGCTTTCTGGCTAGGCACAGTGAAAGTGGAAATGAAGAAATTATAGCAGAGACCCAGTCTGACAGTGGCCAAAAAGAACTGCACACGGACATATTACAGGTGTTCTGTTTACAAGGAAGAAAACCCTTATGTATTTGCTACTGTGGTCTTTTGCTAATTATCATACTCTTGAACACACACTTTAAAGCAATTTTTTAAAAATTATTATTATTAACCCTTTAAAATTGTGTAAGAGACATGCATCATAGCACAAATTATCTAAATCTCATAATGGAATAATTTGATTCTGAGGTGGTTTACCCATAGCATCTATGGTTTGGAAGAAATGTAAAATAAGAACATTCCTAAAATAATCACTTGAAGCATAGATTTTAAAATGGAGGATTTGCAACTCAGTGTCATTGAAAACATTTTCCTTGGTTCCCCCCCAAACGCAGATGTTTTGCCTCAAGGGTTCTTTGCAGATTGTTGTATTCCTCTGGAATTGCAGCTTGGCTGCAGCTTAAAGAACAAAAATAGTAAAAAACAAAAACCCACCACTAAAATTATTCTTTAAAAACCTAATGTGTTCTACAATCAGAGGGGGTTATAGACCAGAGGAGTACTTTAGTTCACTGCAAAAGATTGTAAAGCTGTTTCAGTACTTATTTATTAGTGTGTGAAACATGCAAAGGGTGGGAGAATACAGTACGTTCTTTTGTTTTAAGAGATCAGGATAGAACAGAAACTGAGACGTCTTGAAGCAGTCGATGTAGGTAGCATTGCCATGCCAGTATTTCTCTTTTGAGTTAAGAGGACATTGGATACACGTGGTGTCTTCTGTACGGGGGGTAATTGAGCCATCAAGGATTCAGTAGTTCAGTTGATACTATTGTGTTTTCAGTATTTTTATGTAAAATTGAAGTGTGACTAATAAAAAAAATGCAGCGGATACAAACCACTATAATGATGTGCCCAGTAAGAAGAATGTATGCAAAAAAGAAGTATTGGCATCCCCTTTCAGAAATATGTACTTGAAGAGGTCTAAATCAAATATCCTAAAAGGGAAAAAAAGGTCAGTCTTGTATACCACTGTTAATACTCGTTGAATGTATTGTGAGTTGTGCCTAAGTAATGTGAATAATACAAGGACAGTGTTACTAGTAATGGAGAGATTTATGCTGACAGTGGATTAACCCAAGGTTTTTCAAAGAACTAGATTTCATGCTGAAAATTCTAAACCCACAGTAAATTCTTAATCCTGAAAAGATGTGATGGATCTACTGATAGCTAACAAAAGGCAGGAAAGTCGGTGTTTTCCTGCATATTTCTATGGATGGGGACACCCATTGTCATCTCAGAATCCTGTCTCAGGTTAAAACTGTACTAACTATAAGTTTAATGTTAAGGAAGATTTAACAAGAGATCATCCTTTAGAAGAAGCAGTACAACTGACCAGTCACGACCAGATAGAAATGATGGTTTTAACAAAATGTAAATGGTTAACTGAATTACCATCAGAAGAACATGGGGTTCAGAACAAAAAGAATTTAAGAAAGTCAGGACAGATCAAACAGAAGTAGGATCACACAGTTCATGTCACTATTAAATCGGTTTGTTTGTCTCACTAAAGAATATAGTTGTGGCAATAACTGGTCCTGGGGGAATATTTCTACCTATGTAGACACTTTGACTAAAACATTTACTTGGACTATGGCCTGATTGTGGCACAACAGGAAGAGTTTAAAGTAGTGACTGGACATCAAAGATGCAGTGCAATTAACCCACAATGTAAAAGTGTATTCAGACAACCAGTTTTCCAGGTGATAACAATAAGAGTTTGGATAGAATTGTATGAAGAACTAGAAAATGATTTTAGCTTGAGGGGCCCATGTCCTTGGAAAAATTTAAAGCCTGATTTGTCATAAGTTTCCTTATGTCCATTCATTCAAAATAAATCTTGTACCAAGGGGACTCATCTTGTGTTTGCCACATATTACCAACCACTGCACAAATGAAGTCCTAAAGGAAACAGAAGGGGCTTAAACAATCAATATGGCAACCTATAATTTCCATGGTAAAAGAATTTCACTTTGTTGTTAAAAAAGGGTCACACCTCAACACAGGTAGCAACTATGAAGGAACTGCAGGCATTAAAAATATATATAAAAGAAGAAGAGATTGGATTTATACCCCACCATTCACTACCCAAAGGTGTCTCAGAGCGGCTTACAAATTTCTTTCCCTTCCCCTCCCCACAACAGACACCCTGTGAGGTAGGTGGGGCTGAGAGAGCTCTGACAGAAACTGCTCTTTTTCAAGAACAGCTGTGCCAGAACTATGGCTTGCCCAAGGTCATCTGGCAGGTGCAAGTGGAGGAGTGGGGAATCGAACCCGATTCTCCCAGATTAGAGTCCGCGCACTTAACCACTACACCAAACTGACTCTATACCAGTTGTTATGCCAACTGCAATACTAAGTCTTTTGTTGCCCCAGTTATGGAGATCTAACATTAAACATGACAGAAGTTATTTTATTTTATTTGTTTTTGACATTTTTACCCTGCCCTCCCCGCGTATATACACAGTTCCTCACACATTATGATGAGACTTAATTAAACACAGAAGGTAGTGTTAAAGTGAAATTATTTTTTAGGAAACTCTACAGGGCTTCAGTGGCTTTCCTTCAGGATTATTCTGTTATTTTTATGAGCAGATCTAAAGCAGCCTATTGGTGCTATTGCTATATCTGGAAAGCAGTGGATATTGTGGCTCTGAGAAGCGTTATGTCAAGACACATCCCCATCACAAATTAGGTGTCAAATTCTGATTCTTGCACTGCAATGCAATCTATGATGCAAATATTTTACTGTGTATGATTGTTGGACCTATGAGTTTGTTACTTGTTTTACCTGGTTCTCTTGCAAAAGAGCTTAGATGCTTTGTGGGTGACATGTATTAAAAGATATTTGGGGTGGGGGGGAAACATAATATAAACTACTAATTGTTGTGGAAAAAATGTATTTGTATTAAACAGATGCCTCCAAGGTTGCAGTAATTTATTTGCTTTAAAATGCAACAGAGATGCTGACCAAATTGCAAACTGTCAGTAGGTGGTGAAGAGTGGCATGTTACCTTGCAAGTTAAATGCAGTCCTGTAGTGGCCTTTTGTTACATGTCCAGAGTACAGTCCCAGCTCTACACACTGAACAATTTTACAGTTTGCATATACAAATTTGCCAGTACCAAAGAACATGCTAACAGTTTGTGCCAACACCTCATCCATGGAGGCCCAGGTCATGATCTAAATGAAAAATAGAGTGAGTTCCCTTTATTGAGCAGTAGTCCAACACAGTACAAGCCAGCTTCTTGTGGTTCATAATCACTCTGCAGCCGAACAATTCTCAACCCTTTAGATAGCTGTAAAGTACAATCTTTTAAAAAAGCCAATTTTTAAAAAAATGAACATTTTTATTTTAATTTTATTTATGTATTTTATTTTTATTTTATTGTATATATTTTTATTAATTTTTATTTTATTTTAACGTCCTTTCCTCTTGGTTCAAGGTAGCTTACAATAATACTTAAAACACCCCCAGCTAGACTCCTAGCTAAAGTGGATGGGGGAGGACAGGCAGAAGCAAGGAAGGCAAAAAGTCAGAGCAACCAGCTTTTGTTGAGGAAGGAAGGATGCTTTTGCCTGCAGCAGCAACCACACCAGTAACTTTGGAATCTACTTGGAGGATAGGGTTGCCAAACCCCCTGGTTTGGCAGGGGTCCCCCGCTTTTTGGGGGACTCTACCTGCCGCCAGCCAACTGGCCAGCAGGGGAAGCCCCACCCCCAACACCCACAGCCACCCCTCTCCCTTCTCTCTTGATAGAGAGGAGGGAGAGGGGTGGCTGCGGGCCACACACCTGATCTCCGCTTGGATCCAAGCAGAGATCGGACATGCAAAGCCTTCCAGTTCCCTTCACTTAAAGAGGCCCCTTTAAGTGTAGGGAGCTGGCGTTTCCCCGCATGCCCGATCTCCAAGCAGAGATCAAGCGTGCAAAGCCTTCCAGCTCCCTGCACTTAAAGGGGCCCCCTTAAGTGCAGGGAGCTGACGTTTCCCCACACGCCCATGGGGCGGGGGGTGGACATTCCCAACATGATGTCATCACATCGGGGATGCCCTGCCCCCAAAGTCCCCCATTGGGCGCGAAGATGGACTTGGCAACTCTATTGGAGGAGCCCCGATGGATGGAGCCTCTAGAAATGTTCAGTATGCAAATTATATGCAGGATGCACATACACATCACTGCCTGCCAGCCAAGCCTCAAGCATGAGAAGCAAAATGGCAGCCGGGGGGAGGGGAACTTGGCTGGAGGAAGATGTGGGAAGGGGGACACCATAAGCTACCCTGCTAAGAGAATACACCTTCCTTTCAACTCAAGGAGACACTCGCCGACTCCTGCAATCACAGATGCATAAGAAGACTCCTTGTTAGAGTGGATGGGGGAGAAGAGGCAGAAGCAAGCAACGCAAGAAGTCAGAGCAACCAGCTCTTGTTGAGGAAGGAAAGACAGGTTGCTTACCTGTAACTGGTGATCTTCGAGTGGTCATCTGTGCATTCACACCCTTGGGGATACTCTGCGCCTGCGCTGACCTTCTCGGTACCGATAGCTAGCAAAAGGGATTTTCGCGCCTCTCCCAGGTCACGCGCCGGCTCCACTGCGCATGACCAAGGAGGGGCACGCAGATCCCGCCAGTTCCTTCTGACCGCCGCCCAACAGCCTTCAAGAAACAAGATGAAGGGCCGAGAGCAGAGGGGAAGGAGGGCGGGTGGTGTGAATGCACAGATGACCACTCGAAGATCACCAGTTACAGGTAAGCAACCTGTCTATCTTCTTCGTGGTCTCTGTGCATCACACCCTTGGGAGAATAGCAAGCAATAACTCTTACCTGGAGGAGGGGCCGAGGCCCTACACCTGCGCCGTCTGCAAGATAGACCGACCCAACGCCACACGACGAGTAGACCGGACATCAAGGGCATAATGCTTCACGAAGGTGAGCGGAGTAGCCCAAGTCGCAGCGTTGCAGATGTCCTCCAATGGCATCCCTCTCAGGAAAGCTGTGGAAGCCGCCACCGCCCTTGTAGAGTGGGCGCGAAGTTGACCTGGAAGAGGTCTCTTAGCCAAAGCGTAACATAGCTTGATTACTTCCACAATCCACCTGGACAGCGTCTGGGAAGAGATCTTCTTCCCCAGGGAGGGCATACTGTGAGCAACAAACAAGGCAGGAGACTGACGAAAAGACTTGGTCCTGCCTAAATAGAACAGCAACGCCCTCTTAACATCCAGAGAGTGCAATTTCCGTTCCTCTTCATTGGCAGGAGACGGGAAAAATGACGGCAAAACTATATCTGAACGTAGATGAAACTCCGAAACGACTTTCGGTAAGAAGGAGATGTCCAAAGACAACGACACCCCATGAGGGGAAAAAATCAAGTATGGTGGATCACACCTTAAAGCAGACAACTCACTGACTCGACGAGCAGAAGTAATGGCCACCAG